CCTTAGCTCAATAAATATTGGTTGTTCCATCACCCAAGTTTATAATACACACTATAATCCAAACAGCTTTAAATAGTGCCATAAAATTAAGTCAAACAAATTACTGTCTTTAATTTGTGAATTATTTCATATGAAAATAACATATCTTAACTTATATGTTAATTGGCTATGTTTGATTTCTTTTCCAATAGAGTAAAATCTTCATTAAACCCAGTCAAAACAGAGTTGGATGGTTCGCTAATGGAACATGATCCCTCATGTTTATTAAAAATATTTGAAAATAGTCAATTTTCCTCAGCAGAAGTAGGGTAGATGAAAAGTCATCCTTCTTTGAATTTTTTTTTTTTTTGAGGTGGAGTCTCACTCTGTTGCCCAGGCTGGAGTGCAGTGGCACAATCTCGACTTACTTCAACCTCCATCTCCTAGGTTCGAGTGATCCTCCTGCCTCAGTCTCCCGAGTAGCTGAGATTACAGGTGTGCACCATCACTCTGGGCTAATTTTTGTATTTTTAGTAGAGACGGGGTTTCACCATGTTGGCCAGCCTGGTCTCGAACTCCTAGCTCAAGCGATCTGCTCACCTCGGCCTCCCAAAGTGCTGGGATTACAGCCATGAGCCACCACACTCAGCCTTTTCGATTGTTTTGAACATGAACTCTCTAATAGAGTGCTATGCAAATTTAAAAGCACAAAGTTTAAAGATTAATCTACACTGACCTTATAATACATTTTATTCAGCATAGACGTCATATCACCATAAGAAACTGTTCCTGACTTCATCACTGGATACCTATCTTGTACTCCCATGAGCCAGCCAATACCCAGTCCTCCAAAGATCATACCATTCTATAATAATTACCTACTTATTTGTGTTTCAAGCTAGACTCTTAAGTTGTTGAGGGCGCCTACAACATTTCCTGGCACGGAATAAGCACTCTTGTTAAATGACTGAATGAGTGGTGACACACAACTTATTTGTTAGGTTACTTTAAATTTTCTCTCTCATTCAAGAGGAAATTATGCAAGATTTGTTCGAAGCCTGTAGCTTTACTTCATCACTAAATAGTATACTACTAATTAAATCTAGAGTTTTATTTTTACATTTTCAAAAAGCAAGTAAATAACACAAATAAATTAACAGTCCCATCTTTGATTTACTCAACTGTTTAAAACAAAGTTTGCATCTCAATGCCAACAAAGGTGTGGGTAATATAAGCAAGGAAGACCATTTTTCAATGCTTTAAAATATGAGCACCTTTCTTTCTTTCTTTCCTTATCTATCTATCTATCTATCTATCTATCTATCTATCTAGACAGAGTCTATCTATCTATCTAGACAGGGTCTCGCTCTATTGTCCAGGTATCTATCTATCTATCTGTCTGTCTGTCTATCTATCTATCTATCTATCTATCTATCTAAACAGGGTCTCGCTCTGTTGTCCAGGTATCTATCTATCTGTCTGTCTATCTATCTATCTATCTTCTATCATCTATCTATCTATCTATCTATCTATCTATCTATCTACCTATTATCTATCTATTATCTATCTATCTATCTATCTATCTATCTATCTATCTATCTATCTATCTATCAAAACAGGGTCTCGCTCTGTTGTCCAGGCTGTAGTACAGTGGCCCGATCACGGCTCACTGCAGCCTCAATCTCCTGGGCTCAATGTATCCTCCTGCCCCAGTCTCCCAAGTAACTAGAACTACAGGTATATGCCACGAGGCCTGGATAATTTTTTTGTTTTTTGTAGAGATGGGGGTCTCCCTGTATTGCCCAGGCTGGTCTCGAACTCCTAGGCTCAAGCAATCCTTCTGCCTTGGCCTCTTAAAAGTGCTGAAATTACAGGCACATTCTTTCTAAAATAACTAAAACAACTAAAATACTAATAAAATTTAAATGTAGCAGGCAATAAAATCTAAGTGTAGGCAACAGATACAATAGTATATGTTTATTTTCTGAATAATACAAATTTCTAAAAGCATTATATAAGTAGGAATTAGAGTGGAAATTAAATTATTTCTAAGGGCCACACAAATAAATTTCCCTAGGTTTACAGAAAAACTAAATAACTGGGGGCTAAAGAACTATATGTTAAAACTATACATTAAAAACTCTAATAGAATATTCTCTTTTTAAAACCAATTTCAAGACTCGAGAATAAATATCGATTTTAGGGGTTGTTATGGATCGAACTGTGTCCCTCTCAGAAAGCTTTAAGTTCTAACTCTCAATACTTCAGAATGTGACCTTATTTGGAAATAGGGTTATTGAAGACATAATTAGTTAAGATGACGTCATACTAAAGTAAGGTATGCCCTTAGTCACTATCACTGGTGTTCTTATAAAAAGATGATGTGAAGACACAGAAAGAGAACAGCATGTGGAATTACACAGCTGCAAGCCAAAGTAAGCTGAAGATTGCCAGTGACACCCAGAAGCTAAGAAAAAGATATGACATATATTATCCCCTAAAGCCTTCCAGAGAACATGGCCCTATTGACACACTGTGAACTTTTGCCTCTAGAAATGTGACAGAATAAAATTCTATTGTTTTAAGCCACCTAGTTTGTGGTAATTTGTTATGGCAACCCCAGGAAATTAATACAAGGAATGACACATCACGTGCTTCCATAAATAGTGTAATATTAATTAAATCTACTGGTTCTATTGTGACTTTTTTCAAAGTGAGATGATATGGCTTGAAGATTGGTGTCCTCCCAGACACCTAACATCCACAGTGATACTATTAAGAGGTGGGGCCTTTGGGGAAGTGATTAAGTCACGAAGGCTCTGCCCTCATGAATAAGTGCCCTTATAAAAGAGGTTGAGGGGAGGTGTCTTGCCCCTTGCACTAAGTGAGGATGCAGCAGCAAGGGGCCATCTTTGAAGCAGAGAGTACACCCTCACTAGACACCAAATCTGCTGGTGCCTTGATATTGGGCTTCCCAGTTTCCAGAACTGTGAGAGATAAATTTCTAATATTTATAATCCCTTACTCAGTTTAAGGGATTTTGTTATAGCAGCCTAAACGGACTAAGACACAAAGTGAAAACTGCTTGGAAAACTTCAATACTTCACTTTGATTGGTAAATAAATATTAACAGTGAGCAGCAGAGGGCATCGCTGATCAGAATCTGGAGTTAAGATTGAAGAAATTATACAGTCCACCTCAAAGCTCCATTTCAGGCAATGGACAGTAAGCAGAACTGGTCACATTTATCAGTCCCAAATTTGAACAAATGAGTAAAAATATGAGAATTTTCTTGGACAGTTAAGAGAATTTAAATTTTCTGATGTCCATCTATAAGCAGTTTATATAAACTGAAAATATCCTTTATATATAAACAGCCACCCTGGCTAAGCAGCCCCCATACTCTCTCTTGCCACTATGGACTATACTGTTGCTTAGGCTTTCTTCATCTTACTCCTGTCCAAATATCTCTGTTTAATTTTCCTCTCCAAGTACTAGCTGGAAAATCTGTGGTGTCAAGAGAAGCAAGAAGGAAACTGAAAGAGGAGGTTGGGGTTGAGAATATGAATCTACAGGACAAAGGTGAAGAAGAAAACAACCTTCCTGCCATTGATACAGGATACCCAAACTAACTTCTCCTTTTAGCAAGGTAAGAGGAATCAGAAAGGACGCATGAATGAAGTGAGAACAAAAAAGAAAAGGGAAAAAGGAAGAAGAGTTATAAGGCGAGGGGCAGGTGAGATAAAGAAGAGAAACAAGAAGAAAAAAGTTAGCCCCTTCCTAACACTACTCCTCATTTCCTTCTTACTACCTTCAGAATTTCTTTTTAAAGTTCCATCCTCCCCTAGGGTCTGTCCTTCCAGATCATCCCTGCCCTAGGAGTTACTACCAGTTTTAGGACTTGGATGAATCCCTACACTTTCACCCCCATAGCTGACTGGCAGGGAAGAGCACAGGTACAAAAGAATTCCCTATATCAGCTTGCACATGTACAATAGAACGGGCTATGTCATTGCTATTCAAAGAAGAAATACTAAATTCATGGTCCCATTAAAATTATTACATACAGGCTGGGCGCCGTGGCTTACACCTGTAATCCCAGTACTTTGGGAGGCCGAGGCGGGTGGATTACCTTAGGTCAGGAGTTCGAGATCAGCCTGGCCAACATGGCAAAACCCCGTCTCTACTAAAAATACAAAAATTAGCCAGGCGTGGTGGCAGGCACCTATAATCCCAGCTACTCAGGAGGCTGAGGCAGGATGACCCCTTGAACCCGGAAGGCAGAGGTTGCAGTGAGCCAAGATCATACCACTGCACCACTGCACTCCAGCTTTGGTGACAGAGTGAGACTCAGTCTCAAAAAAAAAAAAAAAAATTACATATAACTGTTAGGTCCTGAGTACTATTAATCTTATAATTTAGGGCTATTATAGTTAAATAAAATTAGAGGGCTAGTCTGAAAGCAAAAGGTACTAATGAGTTATAATTCCCAATAATTGTACTACAAATTTAATCTGTTTCATAAATGGAATACCAATTCAACGCTCTAACTTATTGAAATAAAAATGAATGTATGAATACATCAACTTTAAAAGACTGATGCATATATATACATCCACAAACATACTTGTATCCCTAAAGGTTGCAATGCATTGGTGAAGAAAAAATGCAAGATTGATTGCAGCTATATTAGCTGTTATATAAATATGAACAAAATAATTTATGTTTTCATGCAGAAAAGAATGAAAGGATTCAGAGAAGAATGCTGTAACCAACCAGTTACAATGCAAAGAGGGAGTCAGGTAGACCCTAGAGGCAATGAGAGCAGTTAGGAATCTAATGCAATGCTCTGGGTGAAAAGTAATTATGGGCTATAAATAATCCCACAGATCCAAAAAAACACCCAAATGAAATAAATTAAAATCCTCTTAAACAGACTGACCCAGACATTCAAATGAGATTTACTAATTGCCAAAGAAAATAAGAGTTGCTGTTTAAAATGCTATTAGCCCAGATTTTACCTGTGCATCTGACTGTGTCATCTGCTCAGCTAAATGTAAACAAGAATGGAAGGAGAAAAGAATGTCTTCACACAAGCTAGTAATTATATCTTTGTGTTTCAAACGGCTTTTTATTATGGACTGGTGCTTAAGGCTCTGCCTAAATGAATAAAAAGAAAAGAATACAATCACCACAAGTAACACATCAAGTAACTTAGGACCACCACCAATATCTACCTTATAGAACATTTAAAAAACAATCACAAAGCATCATATATGACATAATATAAATAAGATATGCCTATTTACCTTTGAAGCGGGTATGTTTGTTTAAATAAGCTGCTAATTTTTTCTCTGTGTAAAATATTAATTGAATTCTTACTATGTACCAGGCACTCTACCAGGCCCTGGGGACAAAGGGGTCAAACAAACGGACACAATCTCTGCCTTACCTGCATGAAACTTGTGGTCCAGCATGAGAGAGAACGTTAAATAATTGTAAGAATAATTAATTAGGGCTGTGATTTGTCAAATGACAAAGTCTAAGGTGCTACAATAGAGAGACCTAATCTAATTTATTCTTAGCGTAAGGATATCAAAGAATGTTATCATGAAGATACAACTCTTAAGCTGAGAACTGAAAGACAATAAGCAGGAGTTAGCAAGGTATACAATAGGAGAGAGAAGCATCCTAGGCAGATGGAAAAACCATGAAAAGGCTCTGGGACAGGAGAGTTTGGTATGTTTAAGGAACTAAGAGCAGGGAGAGAGCAGCATGAGACAGGCTGGTGAAGGAGGTAGCGTCCAGAGAGGATTAGGTTGTTATTCTTAGTAAAATGGGATAGATGTTAAGCAATAGAGTGACATGAACTGATTTGCTTTTTAAAAGATCATTCTGCTGGGTATAAAATGAACTGGAAGAGGGTAAGAGTGGAAGATATTCAGTGGTGATGACAGCGATGTGGCTAATTCCTTGAGCATTAACTATGTGTCGTGCACAGTTCTAAGCATTTCAGTGATGAACTCAATTCTCACTATAACCCTGTCAAGAAGGTGCTATTATTATTTCCATTTTCAGATGAGCAAACTAATGTTCAGAGAAATTAACCAAATAGCCCAAGGGCTCAGAAGGAGTAAATGATTTCAGAATGGATTTAAGCACATGTGACACAGCTTCCAGGCAACACTCTTAACCACTGAATGGCAACTTAATGTCCTGGTAATAGAAGAAAAGCGCCTAACACCTGAAAATACACCGACCTTTAATGTTTTATGTATGTGTATAAAGTAGATATTCTTAACCATTTTTACATCTCAACTACATCTCCTCTCACCCCTAAGAATCTGATGAATGCTATAGGCACTATCCCTGGTGACCCGTTATAATGCTTCAGTTTCAGAAAGTTAAAATTACTGTATAAATGGAATTAAGTGTGAACAACTTAAAAGTACCTAATGAAAAGATTATATTCGGTTCTAATTATAGTTACCAATTTATCTAATCCTAGAAATAGGATACTTGAGAGCTGGTTAAACAACAGTAGCAGCAGGAAAGTGGTTAAGTTCTAGTCTGGCCCATAGCCCATTATTTCTGAAGTACTAGCTAACTAGAAAAAACACTTTTTTTATTTTTAGAGGCCACAGGGTAAAGAAGTCCAATTTGGCTTGAGAGTTACATGTATAATATCTGGATTATCAGACAGCAGTGTCAGTGAACATTAAATTCACACAAAATGTTTCAAATGCAATCTAAAGAATCATGAATAATTAAGATTGGGGAATATGGAAAACATTTTCTAAAAAGTAAAAAATAACAAACAAACTTACTTAATTATAAACTTCCAAGTATTGGCATGAAATGCATGGTCCATACTGGAAATAACAGAGCAGATATCCAATAAAGAATGAATAACTGCAAAGAAAGATAACAGAACTTTTAAGACATCCAAATATCATGGGGGTGAGTTTCTCCCATAATTAACACTATCTACTGAACAATTTCAACATTTGATTGAATTAAAATAGGTAACACAGTTTGGAAATAGTTGTGTCAAAAGAATTATTTAAACTATTTAAGTGTCACACTTGTTACGGTTTTTATACCTATTGGAAATTAACTTTTGAAGTTTATACCTACCTGATGACCTAAATAAAACTAAAAATGTTCAGTGGAATAAAAGTTGTACCCTATTATAACTGAAATATTCTACAGATATAATTCTAATCCAAAATGACAAAACAAATTGCTAAGGAAAGAAAACCTAAAAAGGAAGAATTCAAATTAATTTCCATGGTATTCATGCAAGGCTTTTACTCAGCCTGTGGTAGACTACTTATAAAAATGGCCACAATGACTGCCCTTTGTGAATCCACACTTTTCCACAATGACTCTGGGCTAAACCCTATGACTTGCTTTGGCCCGGGGGACAATAATAAAATTAAGGCAAGCAGAAACTTGGAACGTGCTAGCATACAGGGACCTGCTCACTCTTGCTATTCTTAGAAACCCTGAAACCACTGGCATCAGGTATCTGAGATGTGGTGAGCCTGCTGAATGATGCACACGGCTTTCTCAAGTACTTCTGCCTCTGCCAACAGCCAGATGTGAATGAAGTCGCTAAAGTCACATGGGTGAGCTAGTGCCCCAGGTGGATCAGAGAAAGTTGTATCAGGGGATCCCACCCTAAACTGCAGACTCACAGAATCATGAATAAATAAAATAGTGAATAAATAGACTTTGAGAGGGTGTGTTGCAGAGCGACAGGGCCCTGATACATTGCACAAAACCAAATTTCTCTCTTTATACCAAAGTTTTGAATGCAAACTTTGCCCTTATATTGTTTTTCAAACTCTTGTTCATAATCCATTAATGAGTGATAAAATCAATGAAGTGTGCTACAACCAGCAATTCTTTAAAAATAAACTAGTATTGGCCAGGCAAGGTGGCTCATGCCCGTAATCCCAGCACTCTGGGAGGCTGAGGCAGGTGGATTACCTGAGGTCAGGAGTTCAAAACCAGCCTGGCCAACATGGTGAAATACAAAAATTAGCCAGGTGTGGTGGTGGACGCCTATAATCCCAGCCACTCGGGAGGCTGAGGCAGGAGAATCGCCTGAGTCCGGGAGGCGAGGTTGCAGTGAGCCAAGATTGCGTCACTGCACTCTAGCCTGGGCGACAGAGGGAGACTGTGTCAAAAATAAATAAATAAATAAAAATAAACTAGTATAAAGTGCATTACATGTAAAATGAGTATACTTCATTATAATATGAGAATAGACATATTTACATACACATATGCACATATTTATATGTATTCTGGAAGGAAATATAAACTGCATCTCAATATGAGTTATGGTTTAAAAAATGTGAAAGTTATTGTCTCTGAATATGGTCAACCTCAGAGAACATAAAGTTATATAAGTTAATCATTGTGGAGAAATTACAGTAACTGAATACGCAAATCTAGGTTAAGGTACCCAAAATAAATTTTACAAATCCCAAATTTAAAGATTAAAATGTATTTGGTAAGATTTAAATCAATGTTAACGCATAATTAGTAAGAAAATAACAGGAATCATTAGAGACAATTTTAACTGATATATGATTTACAGTCACCATATACTAAGCAGAAAGTTTTCTTCACTCACCTATTACCATATTCAAAATATCATCATTCTCATCTACTGAAGGGTCCATGCAAACCATGTCCAGCAGTTCCATTAGCTGCTTTTGAAGAGAATAGGCCTCCTTGAAAAGAGCCTGAAGAAGGTCTGAAACTAGGTGTAAACGCCCAGAATACACAGATTCACTATTCTGATTACGGATAAATAAAAATGAGAGAAAAAACAAATCATAAAAAGCTCAAGAACCAAATTTACTTTAACTCATACTATTAGAAATCATAAATTTACTGAATTACACATTGATTGTTTAGTGAACATCCATTAAATATAGTGTACTTCAAGAGATGCAAGCATGTATAAAATATTATTTGACTTCCATGATCTTACAAATACAGAACTAAAAGAAAGGTAACATTAGGCCAGGTGCATGACATTTTTAGCATCCTATCAGCAAAGAGAGGTATTAATTAACTAGCTATTTTCATTTGCTCAGCAAATAGCAATATTAAAACTGTCTGAACCCCATAAATTCTAGGCAAGCTTTTGTGCCTCAAGGCTACCTTTGGAATGCAGAGATGGACTAAACAAGGATTAATTTCCCTTTATAAAAGGAAGTTCTGACATCTAATCATAATGGTAACTGAATATTGATCAATGCAACATGACAGAACTATTTCAGGATCCCTGTGTCTGTCTCAACATAAATTCTTAAAATTTCTTCCTTTATAGAGGGGAAATAAAATAAAACTAAAAACCCCCAAAAAGCCACTTTTAATGACTTCCTTATAACCACTTTTTTTGAAACAATTATTTACTTACATGTTCTTTATTGTATAGAAAAGTTTATTTCAATAATACAGACTAAAATGTAAAATCTTATACAAACATTATTTTACTCAGCCCCTATGCACATTGATTATATACCATTCAAAGTATAATTAGACCTTTACTCACCTTACAATGCACAAATGTGCTTTTAATTACATGAAGGACTGAGGAGGGGAGACTCTGAATATTTTCCAAAATGATGGATTCCTGTGTGGCACAGACATGCTGAACACATCCTGTAAGAGCTCCTAAGAGCTGCACCATTGTCTGTGAATAAGGAAGGAAATTTCATTCAGAATATATTTTTTGTGCACTGAAAAGGTATTAGTCAGTATGCTGGGTGCTACAAATACAGCAATGAACAAGACACAGTCTGTTCCTCTTTTCACAGAACTTTAGTCTATCAGAACTACAAATACTGGAACAACTGTCTAGCCATTTAGAATCCTAACCCAAACTTCAAAACACATGGCAGGTGTTCTACACATATACCTTGAAAATACAGGTCGGGTAGGCTGAGAACGGTGTTTCACGCATGTAATCCCAGCACTTTGGGAGGCCAAGGCGGGCGGATCACGAGGTCAGGAGATCAAGACCATCCTAACACAGTGAAACCCCGTCTCTACTAAAAATACAAAAAATTAGCCGGGCGTGGTAGCGAGTGCCTGTAGTCCCAGCTACTTGGGAGGCTGAGGCAGGAGAATGGTGTGAACCGGGGAGGAGGAGTTTGCAGTGAGCCAAGATCACACCACTACACTCCAGCCTGGGTGACAGAGCGAGACTCCGTCTCAAAAAAAAAAAAAATACAGGTAGGGTAAGCTAGCTTGATGACTTGTCTTCTTATAAGAGTTTATTATTCAGAATTCATGTTTCTATATTCACGTCTTTAATTCTATACATTTAATTCCAACATTATACCATTACATAAGAATACATGGCTAATCAGTATCAGTATAAAAATTTTGATATTCTTTAAACTCCCTCTCTCTCCTGCTTTCTAATACATTTGACTTACCTGTAAAATATTCCTTAAAGTAGTCTGGATTTCCAAATTTTGGCTTGACAGTCCTCTGGCTTGACTGGTTAATTCATATACCATGTCATCAAATAATTTCACAGTCTGTAAAAACAAATCAAGTAATAAACAGTAATAAGAGAAATCACTAGAAAAGACAAGACAAAACTTTACAGAGAAAACGCAATACGATAATTTGATTTTGCACTTAGTAACATCTACGGGCTGTCATCTAGCTTAACAATTGTACCTAATTAAGCACAAAATATAGAGAAAAGGTACTTTTACAATATAATTCCCCCCAAAAGCCTCAAACAGAAATTTATTTTCCATTTCTATGGTTTGGATCTATTTAATAGCATCAATTTTTAAAAAAAATCACTCAAAGTTCACGTTTTAGAGATGCAAGAAATAAAAGTATTACTTTTGCCCAATAAATTTGACTGTCTTGAAGAGTCCACATTCGTATGGCCATTTACAACGGTATTTTCTGGAAGGAATTTGCACTGAATCTCCTAATCACTACTTGCTTATTTTCTAACCAGTTTCCTTTTTGACCCAATTCAAGATAACCTTCCTGAATTAAGAGTATAGTATATGACCTTACAACTAAGCTTTTGGTCTGTGAAAAGTTAGCCACCCTAAGATCTTAATACTTGGATCTTTCTAACAATTTAAATGACCTAAACATTACAAGAATAGCAACATAGTCAACAATACAATGTAGTTAAAGAAGATACTGTTTCCCGTAGGCCTGTTAACATTCAACATCTATTTTTATCTATGTAATAGTTGAATCTTTTTCTGGTGGTCAAGAACAAATTCTAAGAAATATTTCAGATAGAGAATCATCAAGTGACTATGAGTACAAGAAACCTGAAAGATTATGTTTAAAAGCTAAAGTTAGAAACCCATTTCAATAAGAGATTAATTACAAATAATGTTTCATTTTGGCACCAAAGTATCTTTGGTTGCCTCCATTTAAAACAAAAAAAGTATGCTTGTGCTTTTCAGAGAAAACGTATACCATATATATCTAAAAAGTAATAACGTAGTCTGTGAATTTAATGTTTTATCTTAGTTACTTGATTTTGCCAATATTCCCGCTTTTTTTTTTTTTTTTTTTTTTGGAATTCAGGGTTTCACCCAGGCTGGAATACAGAGGCTTTAAAATACACGAACATTTAAAATTGACTACAAATAATTTAAAATCAATTAGCAAAAGACTCATACAATCTGAAAATAAAAATTTTTTCTTTTTTTTTTGAGACGGAGCATCGCTCTTATTGCCCAGGCTGGAGTGCAATGGCGCGATCTTGACTCAATGCAACCTCTGCCTCCCAGGCTCAGGCAATTCTCCTGTTTCAGCCTCCTAAGTAGCTGGGATTATAGGCACCAGTCACCATGTCCAGCTAATTTTTTGTATTTTTAGTAGAGACAGGGTTTCATCATGTTGACCACGGCTGGTCTCCAACTCCTGACCTCAGATGATCCACCCACCTCAGCCTCCCAAAATGCATGGATTGCAGGCATGAGCCACCACGCCCAGTCTATGACAGTTTTTAATTGCCTAATGATCACACTAACACGATTATAGTCTCACATGAGATCTATTTACTCCTTATTTTTATTTTGAATATATTTGATATATTAGAAAAACAGACCCATAATTAATGATAAATTATCTAAGACTGAGAGGTTAGATTCCTTATAACATGTACTTTCAGGTAATAGTATTATACCTTTGGTAACACTTGTGAAAAGAAAGTCTGTTCCAATGTCAGGTGGTTCATATGAGGTAAAAACATTTCTACAATAATTTTCAAAATTTCTGTAAAGCAAATAACATATTTTATAAAAATATTGTCATGTCAGTCAACAAAGGCCACTGCCCTTTATTAAATGCAAGAATACTACCAATCTAAAGCTTGATATACTTTCAAAACACCACATTCTATGTAGGGAAACTATTAAGTAATAGCCAAAAAAAAGAGAGACAGCGACAGAGAAAGGAAACAACCTACATATCCAACAACTGTGGACCAGTTGAATAGGTGTCTGTATATCTATTGAATAGGATCTGCCATCATTAAAATGACATTTTAAAACATGAAAAATGTTCAAAATGTAGTTAAACAAAAAGTTTCCAAAATATAACACCAATTTTAATATAAACATGTACAAAGAATGATGCATAGGCTGGCAGGAACATATGGAAATGAGATGAGACTGTTCTCATCAAAATCTTAACCATTTCAGATTAGATGTTTTGTAATCTTTTCTGTTTTTCTATGTTTCATATTTTCCACAATGAACATGAATCACTTCTATACTCAAGATAAAAAAAAATTTACTCAAAAAAAATTATGCCATGCATGGTGGCTCATGCCTGTAATCCCAACACTTTGGTTAGCTGAGGCAGGAGGACTGCCTGAGCCCAGGAGTTAAAGACCAACCTGGGAAACATGACAAGACCTCATGTCTACCAAAAAATAAATATATAAATAGAAAATTAGCCAGGCATGGTAGCACGTACCTACGGTCTCAGCTACTTGGAAGGCTGAGGTGAGAGGACTGCTTGAGCCTGGGAGATGGAGGCTGCAGTGAGCTGTGTTCGCACCACTACACTCCAGTTTTGGTGACAAAGCAAGACCCTGTCCCCTAAAACAAACAAACAAAAAAGTAGGCCAAGCATGATGGCTCAGATCTGTAATCCCAGCACTTTAGAAGATGGAGGCAGGAGAATAGCTTGAACCCAGGAGTTCAGGCTGCAGTGAGCTATGATCACACCACTGCTCTCCAGCCTGGGTAACAGAGCAAGATCTTGTCTCGAAAACAAAACAAAACAAAACAAACTTCGGGGCTAGGCTTGGTGGCTCATGTCTGTAATCCCAGTAGTTACAGAGGACAAGGCAGGAAGATCACTTGAGCTCAGGAGTTTTGAGACCAGCCGGGCCAACATGGTGAAACCTCATCTCTACTAAAAATACAAAAATTAGCCAGATGTGGTGAAGCATGCCTGTAATCCCAACGACTTGGGAGACTGAAGCAGGAGAATCACCTGAACCTGGAAGGTGGAGGTTGCAGTGAGCAAAGATCATGCCACTGCACTCCAACCTGGGTGACAGAATGAGACTTCATCAAAAACAAAGCAAAAAAAAAAATTAGGTCCCATTACACAATGTAGATTCAAATTATAAATGAATATTCCACAACCAAGTGAACTCTAAATAGAAAAGCTAACTCAAAATATGAGTAAACTGAGCAGTCTAAACTCTCTTCTGACTAAAAGAATAAATCTTGTCAAGTAAGACTGAAGAAGACATGAAAATGAGAAAGCCAACTTCCTCCAAATGATAAATTTGTTATCACCTAGACAATCAGCTTTTGACAATTTAGAAAGTATTTTCTAAATGACACTAAATATGTTAGAGACTGATAGTTATTCAGTGGTCTGTAAATCAGGTTTTACATAGGTCTAATCATAACGTTTAATATTTATAATTTTTTTATACATACATCATCAACAAAACACTTTTGGTATTTATCCAAAACGTAATTTAAAACTTTTAAGTGCTGGAATTTGAAGGAATTTGTTCATTTCAAGTAACTGAAGGTTATAAAGGCTGTAACATAGAAAACAGTTACATTTCAAGGGAATACAAAACTGTAGGACACATCCATTGAGGTATGTGGGGACTCGGACTTTAACATCAAATAATACAATTAAAACAATTTAACTTACGAACATGCTCAATCCAACTGTCAGAATGTTGAGACAATGAGTAGGATAATTAAGGAAGATACTAGTATCATAATAATAGAGTATTCATTATCAGAATAAACTTAAAAAAAAAAAAACCCTTTTGAAATTTAAGCAATGACCCATAAGAGATTGGAATTGGACTCAAATTACTGGCTTAATTTTGCTTTTAAAAACTTAAGATTAGGTAAACAGTATTGTGAAAATACATTAAAGAAATATTTTGAAAATTGCCCAAGGACAAACTTGCCTTTTCAAACTATGCATAGTCATGAAATATTTTTGACAGATGAGAAACAGTGCTACAGTAATCCACAGGTTTATGATTTATTTATTTTTTGAGAGAGGGTCTCGCTCAGGGCCAGGCGGGTGGCTCACGCCTGTAATCCCAGCAATTTGGGAGACCAAGGCAGGTGGAACAAGAGGTCAGGAGCACGAGACCAGCCTGACCAACATGGTGAAACTGTCCCTACTAAAAATACAAAAAAATTAGGTGGGCATGGTGGCGCGCGCCTGTAATCTCAGCTGCTAAGGAGACTGACGCAGGAGAATCACTTGAACCTGGGAGGCGGAGGTTGCAGGGAGCCGAGATTGCGCCATTGTACTGCAGCATACACGACAGAGGAAGACTCCGTGTCAAGAAAAAAAAAAAAAAAAAAAAAAAAAAAGAGGGTCTTGCTGTCACCCAAGATGGAGTGCAGTGACATGATCATACCTCACTGCAGCCTCAAGCTCCTGGGCTAAAGTGATCCTCCCATACCAGCCTCTCAAGGAGCTGGGATTACAGACGCACACCACCATGCCCAGTTTGTACTTCCAATTTCTATTACAAGAAATTTCTCTTTCCTCAACATTTCTATAGTACTTAATTTATACCTGTCTTGCGTCACTCATCACCTTTTATCTTATTTTCATATTACTTACATGTATCTATCTTACCAACCTTATTAGACTGAAATTCTTCTGCACATAGCAGCTTACAAATACATGACAACAAATTCTCCATATATACCATCAAAAATAATTGTTAGAAATGTTTTACTGTAACAACACTATAAGAATCATCAAAGAATGTCAACAAGAAAAATGAATAACCCGCCCGGGCGCGGTGGCTCACGCCTGTAGTCCCAGCACTTTGGGAGGCCAAGGCAGGCAGATCACAAGGTCAGGAGTTCGAGACCAGCCTGGCCAACATGGTGAAACCCTGTCTCTACTAAAGATTCAAAAAATGAGCCACGCATGGTGGTGCGTGCCTGTAATCCCAGCTATTCAGGAGGCTGAGGCAGGAGAATCACTTGAACCTGGCTGCTGTGAGCTGAGACGGCGCCATTGCACTCCAGCCTGGGTGGCAGGGTGAGACTCCATCTCAAAAAAAAAAAACAAAAAAGGAACCTATAATCCCACGACACTAATACAAGAATTCATTCCTCTTCTGAAATCTTATTTTCCACATATATTTTTACAGCAGCAATCAAAATGAGGTCATCATTAACTCAAATTTGAGTTCAGTAGGATAGAATTGGCCTCATGAAAAAATTTCAGTAAAGCTCAAATAATTGCTAGCTGTTCCAAAATTAGTCAGTTATGATTATGCAGACATGCAGGTAAGGCCTAGAAAATAATATGTAAAATGCAAAACATGAAAATGATTTTGGGGGGTAGTGGCATTGTAGATTTGTTGCAAATTTTTCATTTGTTAAAATAGTGAAGCTAAAATACTACCATAAGCTGAAAAAAAAGTATTGTCTAATTAGACTCTCAAGAATTTTTAAAACATGAAATATTTTTAGCCCTTTAATGAATGCTTACTATGTGTCAGGCACTGTTCTAGGTGCTGAGGATAACGCTGTGAAGAAAATCAACTTGCTGCTTTTATGAACTTTGCAACGTAATGTGTAAAAGTGGAAAATATACAAAGCAAACAAGAGCATTTTTTTTAACGATAATGTGCTTTTTAGAAAACTGAACAGGTCAATTGATACAAGTGTAAGACTGGGTTTGGGGGAACTACCTAAGATTGAAGGCTCTGAAAAAGCCCCTCTAAGGAGGTGACATTTGGGCCAAGATATAAACATGAAATATGCAAAAGGCTGGGAGAACCAGGCTGAGCACAAAGATCCTGAGGTAGGTGAGCCTAATGTATTCATGAATAGAGTGTAGTTAACTAGGTATGAGAGAAGGGCAAGGCTTAGATCACCTGGAGCCTTGAAGGTAAAGTGCTTTAAAAAGGGAAATTACGTGATCTGTGTTTTTCCCCTCTGAGCTTTCTTGTAATAATTATGAGTAGAAACAAGGAAACTATTAATACTCCAAGTGAGAGGGTGATAGGGGTTTGGAATCAGAGTGGTAGCAATGAGGATGGAAATAAATGGATTGATTCAAGACAGTTTGGAATCAGAAACAACAGAACTTACTGATCGGGTGTGTGAGAGAGACAGGATTCAAGGTTTCAGTTTGTGAAACCATTTACTCAGATGAGGAAAACCAGAGGAAGAAGTTCCGGCTTTTTTGAATATGTCGTTTGAAGTGCAAAGCTAGGTGGGAATGTTGACTTTCAACTTAATGAAGTCTCTCTATAAGCTTGTGGGGAAGGAGAGGAAACATGTTCCGTGTCTCTATTCTCCCAAAGGCTAACATCATGTCTCACACACATTATGCATGCAGTTTAAGTGTTTTTGAATGTTTTTAGGGTGGCTATTTGTTTTCAAGTTGAAACTCCTTTAAGACGGCAATTGTGTATCTACACAAAAACTTAAAAAGGGGGCCTTGGCACTTTCTGAGATTTTGCTAATGTCTAGGTGAATGACTTCTATGTGATTATATGGGGCTTTAGCTGCACAATATTTGTGCAGTGTTGAGACTGTCTCAAGTGAAGGTTACTTTTTTTCTTTTGAGTGTAATTGTATAAAGGTGGGCTCAAAAGTTGTGAAAAAGATACATATACATATGGTTTACCATGAAAAGGCTAGGATTCCAGGCACATTTACAACCACAAAGGCATGAGACCAATCAAGAATGTGCTGCACCTGGATGACAAAGGCGCTAAGCGCCTCAAATGCAACAGTCAAAAGCCAACAAGCGGAAGCAACTCTTTCAGAAAAAGACTCCAGCCCAGCAAGAGGAGTGAGAACTTGCCTCAAAAAAAAAAAAAAAGAAGAGGAGGAAGAAGAGGTCTGAGAGAGGAAGGAGGAAAATTATTTTTATTTACTGAACATCTTTTAAAGATTTCACACCACAGAACTGTGTCCTTCAATTCTTACAACGCTAAGAAAGGCATTATTCATATTCACCACCCTTTTTACGGGAGACAAAAGCTCACAGTATCTCGCTTTATCTCAACCTATTAAGAGCCAGAGCTATCCTCATACCCCAGGTCTGAGTCCTTGCCTCTCCCATTACCCACTACCAAAAGTATTTACACTTAATTGCAAGCAACGAGTACAGAAAAACTCAAAGAAGGAATGGAAGAAAACGCCACATCCACTGCTAAACCCTTAGGTCAGAACACGTCCGCGAGCCTTTCCAGGGCCAAAGCCTTAGATCTACCATGGTTGTCGCTTCCCCTCCAGTCCCTCGCTTTTCATCCCACTCACTGACAAAGAAAAGAAGGGGTTCACGCCGCGGTAATATAACCCAGCCTGACGGTGAGTCTGACGGCACAGAAGAGAGAGGTTCGCGACCCGCCCACACCCCTCTCTAGGTGGAAATGACAACCAAGGAAGGATATGAGGAGTCGGGGCAGGACGGATGGCAGTTCCCGGCGGCATAGTTCCTCTGGCCAGCTACTTAATTCTTCCAGGGGAACCGCGCTAGCCGGGACGGCGCGTTCCTGAGACATACTTTTGTCAAACAGCACACCTTCAAACCAATCCCGCCACAGCCCAGACCGGAAACTCACAGTCCCGCCACAGCCCAGACCGGAAACTCACAGTCCCGCCAACCCTTGCGCTCTCTCCGCCGGCTCCAGAACCATAGAGAGGAGGACGGCTGGTTTCTTGGTGAGCCCGGGTCCCTCAAGGCCGGAAAGAAAGTCGGGCTTCTCTAGCCTCCGGAGGACTCGACTCGCTGGTGCGCGATTTCAGTCCGGAGGAGGTGTCGTGAGGTGAGATTTTCAGACGCGCGATCCCAGGACGTGTCGGGAAGCTAGCATTCTCAGGTCTGGATCACTGTAAACATTACATTCAAATGGGGAGGTGAGGGCCAGAAGTCCCAGATTTGCTACCCATGGGGTTTTGAGATTGCACTTCTAGGGTCGGATTTGTCCTGGGACCTGCAGCCGGAAGTGACTCCGAGCCTTGCAGCGTGATGGGAGAGAAAAGAGGCGCGTTCCTAGCCGCTGGACTGGGTGATCCTCCTCTCCCCCGAATTGTAAATCTTGTGTAAAGGGAATAAAGATCCCACTTGCCAGAACTGTAAAAACAGAGGCAGATGGTATAGTGTCTAGCGCAGTGGATAGAAGATTCTCAATAAAGTTGCTTCTGATTTCTACAGGCCTCTCCAAACTGCTGCATTGCCCTAGTTTGCGTTCGCTCTGCCATCAAATTAGTCTTTACTAATTATTTCCAAATTACCCCCACTTCCATACACTTAGGGCTGCTGTTCTCGACTAAATGTTTGGAGTGAAGTCTTGGATGAATTTACACACACCAGACCATACCTATGCATGTTTTTTAAAGGGACGCCCACTTATCAAAATAAAATATTGTACGTCTTTTGTAAAAGACAGAAGTGAAATTATTCTGGAAGCTTAGGGGGTGAATATGGTTGGACACAGTCAAGACAGCTGAAAGATGGCAAGTAACTAGGCCGTCCTGTCTGAATATCTTGGACTTTATGTTTGTCCAGGTGGTGGTGGTGGTTGCTGCTGCTGTTCTTCTGTTTGTTTTTATAGCTGATTTTCTTCTCCCACTTTTGAACCCTTAAGGTGTATATGAGCGTCCAAATCTCTTTATCTCTCTCTCTTCCCCACAACTTTTTTAGAAAAGGCAACTGTATAGTGGGGCAGGGAGGGATTGGAGGTGGCTGTTTAATATTACACTTTAGTGAAATGTGCCATTTTGCTTTAATCATCATTTTCTTTCTGTTTTTTTTCCTTCCAGAGTTACATGGAAAGAGGACCGAAGACGTCTAAAAAGTAATTTGGAAATACCTCTAAATGTTTGTTACCATGTATAAGCTGCTAAAGAGAAATTGGGCCCAACAAAATTAATTGAATAATTGAGGCAGGTTTGTGTGTGTCATCAAATTCTATCCAGAAGTTGAAGAATCTGAATTTAACAATCGTGTGCATTTAATAAGAGGATGACCTTTCAGTTTAATTTCACTATAGAAGACCATCTGGAAAATGAATTAACACCCACTGGAGATGGAGCTTTGACCCTGGATTCCTCAAAAGAGCTGTCAGTCTCAGAAAGTCAAAAAGGAGAAGACAGGGACAGAAAATGTTCTGCAGAACAATTTGACTTGCCTCAGGGTCACTTGTGGGAACATAAGTCAATGGAAAATGCAGCTCCCTCTCAAGACACAGACAGTCCACTCAGTGCAGCCAACAATTCAAGTAACTTGGAGCCATATGGAAAACAGCCCTCCTTGAGAGCTGCTAAAGAGCATGCTATGCCTAAAGATTTAAAGATGTTAGAAAATAAAGTCATAGAAACATTACCAGGTTTCCAGCATGTTAACTTCTCAGTAGTGAAAACCATCTTGTTGAAAGAGAACTTCCCTGGAGAAAACATAGTTTCAAAAAGCTTTTCTTCTCACTCTGATCTGATTACAGGTGTTTATGAAGGAGGCTTAAAAATCTGGGAATGTACCTTTGACCTCCTGGCTTATTTCACAAAGGCCAAAGTGAAATTTGCCGGGAAAAAAGTCTTGGATCTTGGTTGTGGATCAGGTTTACTGGGTATAACTGCATTCAAGGGAGGGGCCAAAGAAATTCACTTTCAAGATTATAACAGTATGGTGATTGATGAAGTAACCTTAGCTAATGTAGTAGCTAATTCCACTTTGGAAGATGAAGAAAATGATGTAAATGAGCCAGATCTGAAAAGATGCAAGAAACCAAAAGTAACACAAGAACTATATAAATGCCGATTTTTTTCTGGTGAGTGGTCTGAGTTTTGTAAGCTTGTACTAAGCAGTGAAAAACTTTTTGTAAAATATGATCTCATTCTCACCTCAGAAACCATTTACAACCCAGATTATTACAGTAATTTGCACCAGACTTTCCTTAGACTGTTAAGTAAAAATGGACGTGTACTTTTGGCTAGCAAAGCACATTATTTTGGTGTAGGTGGAGGTGTTCACCTCTTTCAGAAGTTTATAGAAGAAAGGGATGTTTTTAAGACCAGAATACTCAAAATAATTGATGAAGGATTGAAGCGGTTCATAATTGAAATAACTTTTAAGTCTCCCGGTTAATATTCACTGAGTAACCAAAATGAAATAAACAGAGGACCAAAAATTTGAGTGTTTGATTTCTGTCTTGCTATTAATTTTTCTGAATTTTTGATGTTTGTTTAGTTTATCCAAATCATAAGTGAGCTGTGTTAGCAATCTTGTACTCACTAGGTGAAACTGAGAAAATATCCTTGTGCATTTGATGAGATCTCCTGGGAAATCATTTTGTAGCAAATTCTGGTATTCTCCATCTTCATTCTATTTGACCTTTTTACCATCTTTGACATTACATGAAATTGTACCCAGGAAATCCTGCCATTTCTTCTCTCAAGTCTGTGAATTTCTTCCTGCTCTTTGTTAGTTCCTGGTTCACGTGAAGTGTCTGATCAGATCACTATGCCATTAATATACATCACTAAATATTAGGTTTGAAGGCCTTAGGTAAATAGGAAGAGGTTTTTGTTTCATTTTGTTTTTATATTCATTTACCTTGTATAGTAAGGATCAGAATGGTGAGAATTTAACTAAATTCACATGGAGATGAGGAAATAAAGGGAATCTGTGATAGAGTATAAAAGTGATACAGAGAACTTGTACTACTTTAGGTTTACTCCTTATAGCCAAGTAAGAGATCCTGCAGTCTTGGTAGGAGGAAAAAGAAAAAGAAAGGAGAATTCCAGATTTGGAGGAGTATAGACTTCTCACCAGTTGTTAAATAGTAGGAAAGAAAGAAGAAAGTGTTTTGTTGATTCAAATGCAAAAATTTTCACATTTTACTTCATTGGGAATTGGGATCTGCCTTGCTCTCTATAACAACAGTAAAATTGACAGCATTTTTTTCTTTCTTGGAAGTAGCTAAAATAATCGGACGTCATGGATTCAATTAAAATGTGATATTTACTGGACATTTACGGTTAACTAGGTACTTTGTATAGCGTCTTGCATAATACTTAAAACCTTATGAGGTATATGTTATCTCCATTTTAGTAGTGATCATAATAGCTAACAGTATTTAGCATTTAGTGTAAACAGGGCAGAAGACCTTTATATATGTTAACATTAAATATTCATAACTGCCCTATAAGACTCCAAGAAGTTAATTGATTTGCTCCCAATCACATTTCTCACCTTGAGCCAGAATCTGAAGTCTTAAAAGTCTTTACACTCTTTCATCATCCAGTGGTCTCAACTCTACCAATGCCTATTTTCATCACAAATATTTCTTAGCACCCTCTTACTACTCTAGAATGAAAGTCATAGTTAAGGAAACTTACTTACATACATTATTAAAAAGTATATTCCTCGTTTATATATAATTATATGTGATAGTCACAACTAATATGAAGAAAGTAATTTATAATCAAATAATTTATATCTCATCAGATAACACACACAGGTGTAGCTACACAGAAGACACACAGCAGCCAGATGCTTATACCTAGAAACAGGGGTCCCTGATGCCCAGGCCATGGACCAGTACCGGTCCGTGGCCTGTTAGGAACCGGGCTGCACAGCAGGCGGTGAGTGGTAAGCAAGTGAGTATTACTGCCTGAGCTCTGTCTCCTGTCAGATCAGCAGCAGCGTTAGATTCTCGTAGGAGTGCACACCCTATTGTGAACTGCACGTGTGAGGGATCTAGGTTGCACACTCCTTGTGAGAATCTAATGCCTGATCATCTGAGCTGGAACAGTTTCATCCTGAAACCACTCCCCCTGCCCAGCCCTTCGTGGAAAAATTATCTTCCACGAAACTGGTCCCTGGTGCCAAAAAGGTTAGGGACCACTAACCTAGAGTACCATTACTGAAAATGCCACAGCTACAATTCCAGACTTACCTACTAGGTAAGGTAGAACAAATTGGCCTTGACAGCTGGATTGGGGAATTGAGGTACAAATCACTGGATAGAGGCTCATAATATAATAATCAGTTTCAATGATTTTGAGACAAATAGGTATCTCTCAATTCTCTGAGAGAATTAGACTTTTAATGAGGTCTCATCCAGGAGGCCCATTCAGGAACAGCAGAGACACAGCCTCTAACTAGGGGCTCAGGACAATTTCAGTTCCCGGGGAGAGGGTTCAACAAGTGCAGAAAGGATCAAAGCAGAAGCCCAGTCATGGGAACTAGATAATTTGGGGCATTAAAGATAAATTTGGGGCCGGGCATGGTGGCTCACGCCTGTAATCCCAGCACTTTGGGAGGCCGAGGTGGGCAGATCACCTGAGGTCAGGAGTTCGAGACCACCCTGACCAACATGGAGAAACCCTGTGTCTACTAAAAATATGAAATTAGGTGGGCTTGGTGGTACATGCCTGTAACCTCAGCTATTCGGGAGGCTGGGGCAGGAGAATCGTGAGAATCGCTTAAATCCAGGAGGCAGAGGTTGCAGTGAGCCAAGGTTGCACCACTGCACTCCAGCCTAGGCAACAGGGAAAGACTCTGTCTCAAAAAAAAAAGAAAAAGGAAAAAAAGAAAAGATAAATTTGGGGGTATCAAA